AGGTTTCTTTGGGTAAAATATTCAAGAGCAGCAAGGCTGAGTTATGTGGTAGTTCTATTTTTACTTTTTGAGGAACCTCCATACTGATTTCCATAGTGTCTAGACTAGTTTACATTTCTATCAATATGCATAGGAGTTCTAGAGGTCTAGTGGATTTGTTATTTAAGTCCTTAACAGGGCCCACATAACATCGAAAAATGTTTTTGAAAAATATTTGGATGCATTTCTCTCTTACCTCACATGCCTTCCCTAATTATTAGCTGTGGTAATGGCAAAAAAACAAACAAACAAACAAAAAAAACTACAGTCACTAGAAAGTGTCATGATATTACATATCCAATATAAATTGTTTTCTTTCTTCTTAAAAATGTTTCTACTGCTTTGCCTACCCAGACAACTCCTTTCACCCTTCAGTATCAAGCTATGTCATCACCTTCTCTGGCCCTTACAATACACTATCATCACCACATCTCTCATACTGTTTGGCAATTGATCAAACATGGAGGTCACTCACCCCATGTTCAGCAATGAGATCATGTCCTGATATGAGCCTGGTTCTCCTTTCTCCCCCTGAAGCATTGCCATAAAAATGTCCTATGATTGGCTTTTATCTGGAGCCTCACACAGACAGTAGGGTTTTAACAGAAGAGATTCCCAGATGTTAGGTACCAGCACCAGCCTCGGAGTGACTCAGCAGCCACCTTAGATCCCCACACTAAAGCTCAGTTCTGAAGAGTAGAGGAGATGCACAAAGGGAAGGGCACAAAAATCCTGTGCCAAAAATTGAAAATAAATGAGTTTTAAAATCAAGTAAAATCAAGCCAGACGTTGGTGGCACATGCCTTTAATCCTAGCACTAGGGAGGCAGAGGCAGGCGGAGCTCTGTGAGTTTGAGGCTAGCCTGGTCTACAGAGCCAGTTTCAGGACAGGCTCCAAAGCAATACAGAGAAACCCTGTCTCGAAAAACCAACAAAACAAAAAAAGCTACCCCCCCAAACCCTCCCCCCCAAAACCAAGTAAAATCAACACATTCCTGCATCTGTCTAATAAATGAAAAAAGTAGTATTAAGTAAAGCTGAAGGGTAAACACTAACCATAATACCATGTGATACAGACCTAGATATCTGGGAAGAGGGAATTTAAGTAGGGAAAATGCCTTCATAAGGTTGGCCTGCAGCAAGTCTGTAGGGCATTTTCTTGATTAATAATTATGTTGGAGGGCCCACCCAGCTCACTTTGTATGATGCCACCCCAGGGCTCCCAGGTGGTCTTTGGTCGTATAAGAAAACAGACAGAACAAGTCATGGGGTTGCCAGTGAGCAGTGTTTCTCCATGGCATCTGCTTCATTTCTTGAGGTGGTTCCTGCCATGGATGGCTCCCTTAATGGACTATGACCTGGAATAGGCAAGCCAAAGAACCCTTTGCTCAAGTTGATTTTGGTTATGGTGTTTATCACATCAATAGAAACCCCAAGACAGCACTCATCAGGCTTACAAAGCAACCCAGGACCCACCGTTCTAAAACCCTGCATTGCACAGTGCAGCTCTGCCCCCAGTACCAGCTACTGGATCCGGATCACAGACAACTTGGCAGGTCAGGGACTGGAGTCAGGCTCAGCATTTGCATGTTCCCATACCACAGGGATGAAAGCATTTGTGATGAGAAGAGCAACTTCCACAACTTACGTCATATACAAATTCAAATGAATTTGAGTCCTTAACCTTGGCTTCTATGCTTCTTAGAAAAACATTTGAAAAAAGTAGAAAATAAACAGGCACATCTCCGGAGTCTCAATTTTGATGAAAAGTTATGTTTGACCTTGTTCTCTCAGGATTGGGCTCAGGGAACACACACACACACACACACACACACACACACACACACACACACACACACACACACAAATCCTGCGCAGTGGCATTCATATTTGACCTGTTCTCTTCCTGGCATAGAAGCATGTGGCCTTAGCAGACTGTAGACAAAGGTTTTCAGTATCACTGAGAAAAGACACACACACACACACACACACACACACACACACACACACTCACACACACACTCATACACTCAGAGGCAGGAGGTAAGGAGAAAAACAAATCTAAGACCTGAGAGGCCTGGACCACACTCTGGGGATTTGACAGTAACTTTTCACCCACATCCTGCAATAACAGAAAAAAACACAAGATAAAAGGTTTCCATTAAAATGTGTGTGTGTTTTCTTTCTTTTTCCTCCCCCCACCTTTTTTTTTTTTTTTTAAAGGAAAAACATGAGCCTTCCAGATAGCAAAAGAGCTCTGCAGGATATTTTTGTGCTTGCTTGGTTCCCACCGCTCCTCCTATGGTTTGTCAAAAGATAGTAATAGGAAAATCTCCTTGAGGTAGGAGCAGACTGCTTGCTCCTCTCCCAGAGGACCTGAATTTACTTTCCAGCACCTATGCCAGGGGCTCACAATAGCCTGTAACTCCAGAGTTAGGGGACCCGTCACCTTCCTCTAGCCTCCACAGACATCTCCATCCCCCAGGGCAGGCACACAAACACACATGAATAGACAATATAAAGTAGCTGGGCTGTGGTGGTGCATACCTTTAATCCCAACACTTGGGAGGAAGAGGCAGGCTGATCTCTATGAGTTTGAGACCAGCATGGTCTACAAAAGCTAGTTCCAGGACAGCCTCCAAAGCCACAGAGAAACCCTGTCTCAAAAAGCACCTTAGAGTAAATCTTTAAATTTCCTTTGTTTAGATTACATGCTTTGTCCCCAGAAAGATGTGAGCTTTGTCGCTTTGTCACTGACTTGCTAAGCAACACTAGACAAGTTTTTTTTTGTTTTGTTTTTCATTAGAAAAAATATTTACATATATGGGCATTTTGCTTGCATGTATGCCAGAAGAGGGTGTTGGATCCCCTACAGATGGTTGTGAGGCACTATGTTGGGGCTGGGAATCAAAATTGTGTCCTCTTGAAGAGCAGCCAGTGCTTTTAACTGCTGAGCCATTTCTCTAACCTCTGGACAAGTCTCTCTCTCTCTCTCTCTCTCTCTCTCTCTCTCTCTCTCTCTCTCTCTCTCACACACACACACACACACACACACATCTGGTTCTGTAGTGCTGACTCACTGTGTAGACCAGGCTCGCTGGCTCCAGAGTCACAGGTCAGTCTGCTTCTGTCTTACCAAGTGTAAGATTAAAATCGTTACTTTCTTACCTTCTTTTAAGAATAAAAGGAAACAGCTGACCTGAACAAGGGACCCCTTCCCCAGACTGATAGCTGCCAAACCAGCATTGGACAGACTCAGACCCCCTGAACACGGGTCTCATTTAGAAGGCCTGGGCAGTCTAAGGGACCTCTGACAGTGGAACCAGGATGTATCCCTGGTGCATGAAACAACTTTGGGAGCACATTCCCCATGGAGGGATACTCCCTTAACCTAGAAGCAGGAGGGAGGGCCTAGCCCTATTCCAAATGACTTGACAGATTTTGATGATTCCTCCTGGAAGGCATCACCCTTCCTGGGCAGTGGGAGTGGGGTGGTGATGGGTGGGATGGGAGGGGGATTGGGGGGCATGGGAGGGAGAGGGAACTGGGATCGATATGTAAAATAAGAAAAAAAAACAACACACACACACACACACACACACACACACACACACGTATGTACGTATGTATATGGAAGAATGAAAGGGGAGCATGACTGTGCTGAATTCAAAGTGCTCAGAGGGAGAAGGGAGCGAGGACTAATGAGTCTTGGGCTACCCTGGCTCACTGTATGCACCTGATTCACCCTTGCTATGTAACAAGTAATGGGGCCGCAACGGTGTTAATGAAGAGAGTGAGTCCAAGGAGTTATTTTCATGTGCCATCATACATCCTACGGCAGGAGGAAAGGAAGCCCGGTGAAAGGGGAATTAGGTTCCTCAGTGGGGGCTCTCTGCTCTCCACACTAGATAGAGTGCTGAGCATGCCTTTTCTCACCAGCAGTGTAGCCAGGCTTGTGGGGGAGGCCCTTTCTCCCTCACAATAATGCATATCATCTGTCCAGGCCCAGGGGAGACCAAGAAAGCCACAGCCTGAACAGCAACTGCATAGCCCTTATTTCTTGGTGGCATGCACTAGTGGCATTATCAATTACCTAGAAAGCCCTGGCAAAGCCTAGGTTGCCAGCCTGTGCCATCATGCTGCTCAGCCTAACGATGCTCAAGATGGCTAACTGGCCTGACTGGACATTCCAGGTCCCTGTGGATCAGTCATTCTAGGATTACTTCTGGGGTGTATACTTATCAAATCATCATCATTCTTCAGGATTATATCTCCAGGTTTTTTTTTCCTCCAAAAGGATTTTTACTCACTTTTTACCATATCAGAACAATTTCCCAAGGGTCTTGGCCATATGTATTTATAAATTGATAGGATATGATATATGCATCCCAAGCTGGGGACCCCTTCTCACCTCTGACAATCACACTTTCACAGAGCACTCGGTTCTATCTGGCAACCTCATTCCCATCACCCCTCAGACAGAAGAGTTGCAGCAAATATCCAGTGTTTTTCTGTCAAGGCTCAGCTCTCAGTGGGTCTCCTGGGAACCCTTCATTAATCCCTCTAAGTACATTTTCTTTAAACGTGTCTCCTCACTCGAAATCCCATTTCATCCAAGATTAGAGTATGGCTTTCCTTGCTGGTTTCTGCATTAAATCTAAATTTCATTTCCTTTTCGACTACCTTCCCCCCAGCCCCAGGGAAGAAGGAAAGTAAAAGTTCTCATTTCATTTTATCAAAGAAGCTGACAGAGCTTATTATAAAAACCAACAACGATGTGCTAACAGACCCCAGGTCATTATTCCCTTATCATTCACCATTTCCTCAGAGATCCTGAGGGCCTGGGTCAGCAGGGAAAGACTGGACTTCACACAGCCATTGTGGACCTTCCTCATGGCTATGCTAGCTAGAGCTCTCACGGTTGAGATTATTTCAAAGGAAATCACGGAGATACTTCCTTACCCGGCAGTCTCTCTGCAGTGTCTTCATAAGGGCGTTGTATGTTTCTGTATCGAAATACAGCCCCTCATGCATGTCCTGCAGGAAATCCAGGTCCTTAAACGTGGGGTTGGGTTTCTCTCTCTCTTTTCGGGATGCTCTTCGCTTGTACGTGGACCCTTTCAGGTCATAGGTCAGGTGCATCCTCATGGCCCTCGGCAGTACGTTGTTCATTACTACAATGCGGATGTTGATGCCGCCTGACTGCATGCAATACAGTCCATAGAATTTTGGCAGAAGAGTCCTTGGATTCTGGTTTAAATTCTACAATGAAAACAAACAAACAAACAAAAAAAAAAAAAAAAAAAAGGAAAAATTTCTCTGTTCCATTTTCACAAAGTAATTTTTCATTAAAAGTGAGTTTTGAAACTAATATGACTAAACACAGGGTGAGTTGTTAGTGTCCACTGTAAAAAGTTCAATTTATAGTTTGCACTTCCTGCCCTCTCCTACCTCCCCTCACCCAGCCTTGTTAATCACTCTTGTTGCCACAGAAATTTGATCCTTTCATGTCCTGTGTTATTATGTACTTGAAATTTTTCTCCTTTTGAGATTATAATATACATTATTTTCCCCTTCCCCCCTCCTCCCTCTAAATCCTCCCATGGATCCTTCCTTACACTCTTTCAACTCATGGCTTTTTTTTTCTTTAATGGTTGTTATTTATATGTGTGTATTTAATGCAAATATAATATATAAATATGACCTCATCAGTCTATATTACATTGATTGTATGTGTATGTCATTGATGGCTATTTGGTATTGGATAACTAACTTGTCACTCAAATTTTTAAATTACACTTCCATTTATTTGTGTGGGAACATGCAGGTGTGCACATGCCATGGCATGAAAGTGTAGGTGACAAGAAAAACTTGCCTGGAAGTTGTTTTTTTCCCTTCTACCATGTCCCAGGGGTTGGACATAGGCCATTGGGCTTGGTTGCAGGTGTATCATTGGTCCTGCATACATGAGTTTTATGCATCTAAGAGTCACAAATGAGAGATGTGACATTTCCTGAGACTGACTCAGTTTGCTTAATAATTAAGTCCAGTTACACTGTTTTCCCCCTATAAATGACATAATTTCTTTCTTCTTTATGGCTGAAGAGAGGTTCCATGGAATATGTGTACCACATTTTCTTTACTCATCCCTCTGGTGATAACAGCTAGAACGGATGTATGCACAAGTGTCTCTGGTGATTTCTTTCTAAAGCTGCTCTTGGAATAGCAATAACCATTCTTAACCCATAGCAGTAAAGGTTGAATTAAACACGGGCATAATGCTCTAAATCACCTTTAGCTAAACACACGCAAAGTCCTGATGGGTACAGCTAGTGACTATTCTCTGAGGTAGCTAAGGAGAAAATTAATTGCTGGGGAGTAAGTGGTGAACAGTCTAAAATTTAATTCTACTTGCAATAGTGCCTTCCTAAATGGTGAGACCAATTTTGCAAGAATGCCTGTAGGATTACACAGTCCTATTACACTCTTATCAACACCAGATGCTACCAGATGCCAATATCTTTCTAGGCATGGCTGATGAACATTACAGTTTTACAAAGCTAAGTGTCACTAGTTATTGTAGAAAGTTACCATTCTTGACTCATTTTAGCTAGCTCTAAGATAAGTCTGTTCCTATATCATTTGCTTATTCTTCTGTAGTTTGTTACTGTAGTTCTTGATCCATCCTGGGTTTCTATAATTTTCTTCTTCTATGTGGAGTAAATATTTTCTCCTAGTATGTGGTCTTTTTATTATAAAAACAGAGACGACATACTGTCTAAGTTAGGGTTACTATTGCTGTGATGAAACATCATGACCACAGTAACTTGGGTAGGGGAGGGTTTATTTGGCTTACATTTCTATATCGCTGTTCATCAAAAGCAGTGGGCGAGGGAACTCAAGCAGGGCAGGAACCTGGAGGCAGATGCCAATGCACAGGCCATGGAGGGGTGCCACTTACTGGCTTGCTCCTCATGGCTTGCTCAGCCTGCTTTCTTATAGAACCCAGGACCACCAGATCACAGATGGCCCCACCCACAATGGGCTGGGCCTCCCATATCCATCACTAACTGAGAAAATGCCCTACAGCCAGATCTTAAGGAGGCATTTTCTCAACTGAGTTTCCTTCCTTTCAGACAACTCCAGCTTATGCAAGTTGACACAAAACTAGCCAGCACACATCCCCATTCTTAATGCATTTTAAGAGTGAGTGGGACATTTAAATAGCTCATTAAAAGACACATAACAAAGAATATGATATAATGGATTGTTGAGATGGCTCAGTGGGTAACGGCAGTTGCTCCCAAATCGTGACACGCCAAGTCTTGCCCCTGGGAATCACATGGTGGAAGGAGAAAATCAGGTGTATACGACAGGAGCAGGGTCTCGGAGCTGGCACTCAGTCTTGGACAATTAGTCTCCAGCCATGTTAGGGACAGGATTGCCCCAGCCCTGGTAGAGCTCTTGTGGCTTGGCTGCTCTGTGTTCCTACTCTTTAGACTGAGCCCCAGTATCTGTCTCTGGGCTTATATCATTCGTTCTACACCCCAGTTCACTGACCCTCCTCCTTCATTCTCAGGTCAAACAGATTTATGGACATTTGTCTTGAAAGATTTAAGCATTTTACAGTTTTTCTTGTTACACTCACTGTAACTTGTTTCCCAAAGAGAATTACAAAGTCTTCCTATATGTTTAACTTTAGTTTTCTAATAATTTTTGGCATAAATTACTGTCATCACAAGCAGGATCTTTCCCCTCATATTCTCCTCCACTGTTTTCTAGAAAATGAAATAAATGTGAATCTATCTGAACAAAAATTTGTTATGTTTTTCAACTTGAAAGGACTCTCATTATTTCTAGAAACTTCTGATTTATTTTCTTTAATTTTTATTTATGTGTGTCATGCTATGCGTGTGTGTGTGTGTGTGTGTGTGTGTGTGTGTGTGTGTATGCTTCCAGAAGCCAGAAGAGATTGCCAGATCCTTAGGAGTTGGAGTTATGGACCACTGAGTGCTGGGAACTGAATGCAGATCCTTGGGAAGATCACCGAGTGCTCTTAACCACTGAGCCATCTCTCCAGCCCTTGGCTTATTTTCTTGAAGATCTTCTCATTGTTATTGTGTCACAAGAACATTGAGTACACTCTTTTCTGTCCCAGAGACTTCTCACAAAGTCACCGTGAGATTCCAACACAGTTGTGACAAGGGCCAATAATGGCAAGACTCCCCCTCTATTATTTCTAGGGAGAGGACTCTTGCTCCCCCAGATCTTACATGTCTCCCTTCCCCAGCCTCCTTGGAGACAGTGTCTTATTTTGAAGGACAGACTGACCTGGAATTACTGGCCTTGGACTTAGAGTAATTCTGCCTTAGCCCCTGAAGTGCTCGATTAGAAGCCACCTTGCCTGGCTTCTAGGAACCCTGACAGATGGATAAATGTGGAACCTATATGTGCCCTTATTTATTTATTTATTTATTTATTTATTTATTTATTTATTTATTTATTTATTTGAATGTGTGGCCTTGTTGCAGAGGCTGAGTCACTGGGGCTGGGCTTTGAGGTTTTGAAAGCCCATACCAGGTCCTTTTCTCCTACCCCCCACCCCCAACCTGATGCCTGTAGATAAGGATGCAAAGAAGGTCTGTTACTGCTCCAGTGCCTTGCCTGTCTGCTTCCCATCACGATGACCATGGACTAACCCTTTACAAGTGAAAGCAAGCTCCCAATGAACGGCTTTCCATGGTAAGAGTTGCCTTGGTCACGGTGTCTCCTCACAGCAATAGAAACGTACCTAAGAAGCCTGTTCAACCTATGGTTCTGAATTCTGGTGTGCAGTGTGTAAGAAAAGCTAGTATGGATGAGATGCTGGCGTATGGCCTAGGAGTTGGGATATAGCCTCTGGTAGTCTGACCTCTGTAGCTCACTTGCTCTCTCTGAATCACCTGCCTTTTTTTGCCAGTTGCCTCATCTATGCCCTGGCAACAACTACAGTGCCTAAGGTTGCTATAAAGATTAAAGGACTTAATGACAATGATACCCAAAGCCTTGCTTAAGCAGCGCAGGCAATCAATGAATGTTACCATCCATAGAATGACAACTGCTGGATGCAAAGAGCACATTACTTTCTGTCCCTTCCTTGATCACTAAAAGGACATCACAAAGACACTGTTTCCCCGCTTCTGAAGGACAGAAGTTCAGCAGCATCTTCAATTACCAGGGTTGCAGTGAAGTGATGAGTAAGGTTCACTTAAACCTAGGACCGCGATTCAACAACTACGTTTTATTTCTTTGTTCTCATTTACATCAATTTTTCTTTTGATACAGGGTCTCCCTTCTGCCTCAGTCTCCCAAATGCTGGGCTAACAGGTGTGTACCACCATGTTTGGTTATCACTTCTTAGAATTCAAAATATATTTATTATTATTATATAATATATATTATTATTATATATGTATGTTATTTGTCAGAGGACGATTTTGTGAAGTTGCTTTCTCCTTCTACACGAGAGCCCCGGTGATTGAACTCAGTTTACCAGGCCTGCCTGGCAAATGCTTTATTTAGCCCACTGAGCCATCTTGCTGGTCCCTGGTAAAATCTGTCCAATGAATGCTACAACATACTCTGAACGCAAAGAAAGAAAACCACACAGGAACAAAGCCCTCCAAAGAAAGTAATAAGTCCTACGGCAGAAACGGTAGCCATGTGCAGCCCCTTACCATGTAATAGCCCGGCAGCAACTTTTGCAAGAACTCTGCTTCTTTATGCTGAACGGTTTTGATGATAAATTCATCATCGCTGGTCACAAAAAACAAGGACCCACTGGCTCCAGGGTTGGACAGCTCTATCAGAGGCTCACTGCAGATGGAGTACTGAAAGAAAAAGTAAGCACATCAAATCATTTCATGTATGTGTGGACATACTTATTGACATATTCACAGCACTGGACTGAACCCAGGGCCCTGTTAGGCTGGGTAGATGTTCTCCAATGAGCCACAATGCCCGCTCCTAAGGGAACTTTTGGGGCTGGGGAGAAGGTGGCCTGGTAAAGTGTGTGCAAGCATGGGGTTCTACATTTGGATCCCCAGCAGCCATGAGTGAAGCTGGGTGAAGCTGGCTTGCACCTGGGCCTGGCGTGGCTGAGACAGGAACTCAGATCCCTGAAACTTCAAAGCCACCTAGTCTTGCAGAATCAGTGAGCTGCAGCTAGTGAGAGGTCTTGTCTCAAAAGAAGACAGAGAATGAACAGTAGAGGGAAACATCTGACACCGACTCTCGCTTCCACCCACTGCCTCCACATGTATGTGGCTGCACATACATAGGTGCACATAGAACATGCACACATGGATACATCAAGTGCACACAAAATTAAAGTATACTCTTTTTTTTTTTTTGAGATAGGGTCTCTCTATGTAAGCCAAGATGATCTCAAATTGGTGGATCTTCCTACTTCCACTTCTTCAGTGCTATGATTATAGGCCTATGCCACCATGCGTGGTTAAAGCACCCTTGTTTTAAGTACATGCAAGCAGGTGAGCCTGTGTGCTAGCACGCATGTGCATATACGTGTATGCATGTGTATGTCAGTCAAAGGACAACCATGGGTACCATCCTCAAGAATGCTGCCCAGATCTTTTGAGACAGTCTCTCATTGGTCTGAAGCTCATTAATTAATAAATTAAATAATTAGGCTAGACAAGCTGGCCAGCAAGCGCCAGTGATCCCTTGTCTCTCTTTCTCCAGTGCTGGGATTACAAGAGTATGTTATCATGCTTATCATTGTAAAGTGGGTTAGGGGGTTGAACTCAGGTCCCCATGATTTCAAGGTAAGAACTTTGCTTACTGTCATAGCCATCTTCTTAGTTTGGCTAAAGTAATTTTTTTTTTTGAGACAGGTTTCTCTGTGTAGCCCTGTGTACTTCCAGGGTGTCCTAGAACTCTGGTCCCTGGTAAAATCTGTCCAATGAATGCTACAACATACTCTGAACGCAAAGAAAGAAAACCACACAGGAACAAAGCCCTCCAAAGAAAGTAATAAGTCCTATGGCAGAAACGGTAGCCATGTGCAGCCCCTTACCATGTAATAGCCAGGCAGCAACTTCTAGAACTCTGTAGACCAGGTTAGCCTTGAACCCAGATACTTGCCTGGCTCTGCCTCCCATGTGCTGTGATTAAAGGTGTGCACCACCCCCTGGTATTCTTAATGTGTATGACGTTTCCGTGAAGGGTAAGAAAAGGAATACCCATCTCGGCCTTTTTGAGAAATTTAGAAAAGATTTGTTTATTCCTATTTTATCTGTGTGGGTGTTTTTCGTGCACGTATATCTGCAGCAATGTGTATGCAATGGCCATGTATGCCAGAACAAGGGCATCATATATCCCAGAACTGGGGTCTTAAGTTTTAGTTAACATGTGGATGCTTGGAACTGAACCTGGTCCTGTGCAAGAACAAGTAGTCTCAACTGCTGAGCCCTTGGCCTCCACTCCAGCCCCCTTGGCTTTTTTGAAAGAATAAGTACCATCTATGAGCTTTACAAGGAAGTGCCAGGTAAACCTGGGCTTGTCTCTGGGAGATTCCTGTTTATTTTTATGATTCCATCATGGGAAAGGGCATTCTCTCTCCTCTCCCCATTCCCAGTGCCCCATGACAGAACTGGGGTCATCATATCTGTTTTGTGAGATCTTTAAACAGGAAAGCGGCAGAAGATACTGTGCTTACACACGCCCGTGTAGCCCCAGCTGAAGGTTGACTGTCCATGCATGTGCATCGCTTCAACATAGAACCCCTCTCTTCTCTTTCCTCTGCTCCCCCAGGGGATACTCTCCACTGTCACTGATTACACAGAGGATGATGTGACGTCTCCATCCCAGGACTCTAGGTCTCCAGAAGTGTCTAACATTATAATTGATATCTCTACTTGGTTATAACCCAATACATTACAAGCATGCAATCAAAATCATTTCACGGCCATGATTAAATTATATGGCTCTGCTTGGTATGGTGGCATATGCCTTTAATGTTAGCAGAGGTAGGTGGACCTCTGTGAGTTCAAAGCAAGCCTGGTCTACATAGTGAGTTCCAGGACAGCGAGTTCCACTACAGAGAAAAGACCATGTCTCAAAAAGCAAACAAATTATATGATATTTTTGTCATAATGAGGATTTTTTTAAAACCATGACAGATCCAGTTTGTGGCCAGAATACAAGTATGGTGAGCAGAAGAAGGGCTGGGTACCAGTCCCTACATGGCAGAGAATCACATCTCTAAATCACCTGGCCCCTATCTTTTGTCTTTCCTCTATTTCCTTATCTCCAGAGATGAAACATTATATGCCTTGTTCCCCAAGCCAGAAGAACCCTTGGTGACTAGCCTTGATACTTCCTGTTTCCTCGTTTGTATCCAAATGCTTGATTCCCCCCACCCACCTCTTCCACACCATCTCCCCTGCTAACACCCCAGGTTCAGTGCTTTCATGACGTCTGTCTGGCCTCTAGGGCACGCTCCTGGTCTCAGCTGCAACTCTTACCCTTCAGGCACCCTCTCCTCTGGAGGCCAGGGGTCTTTCCAAAAGGAAGCCTGATCTTGGCCATCCCTGTTGTCACACCCTGCCATGGCTTCTGACAACATGTTTATGACCACAAGTGGCCCACTTTCCAGCTGTCTTACGCATCAGTCCTTCCCTGAAGCTCTATTGTCATCTCCTCAAATGTGACATCAACTCTTGTCTCCAGACATTTTCACTGTGTTTCTTCAAGGTTGGGGGTGGAAGTTGAGTCTTCATGCACCCTAGGCAGGGTTCTACCACTGAGCTACACCCCCAGCCTGAGACAAGGGTCTGGTTTCACTTTTCTGTGTGAGGATAACCAGGTTCTTCCTCGAGATTTCATTTCATTTTTCTTTTATCTGTATGGGTGTTTTGCAGGAATGCATGGCTGTGCACCACATACATGCAGTGCTTGTGGAGACCAGGAGAGGGCGACAGATCCCCTGAGACTGGTGTTACAGATAGGTGTGAGGTGCCAAGTGGGTGCTGGGAATTGGACTGAGGTCCTCTGCAAGGACAGCCAATGCTCTTAACCACTATGCTATCTTTCCAGGTCCTACACAACCAGTTTTCCTGCCACAATAGGAGGACAGTCCTTTTTGTGTGCAGGGGTATTCTTGACATTGTTGAAAAATCTATTTGCAGTAGTTGCGATGGTTTATTCCCAGTCTCTTATTCCACTGGCCACTTATTAGCTTATTCCACTGGCTCACGGTCTGCTTCCCCTTCCTGGAACCACACTGTTCTGCTTCATATAGTGGCATAACACATGGGACCATATCCCGAAGATGTAGGTTGCTTAAAAACAAGGCTGAAAACTCGTCAAAGCTTTTTGTGAGAGTTGCCCAACATAGGAAAGAAAGCAGGTGATGGGGGTGGGATTTGGAGAGAGAGAGGGGGAAATTCAAGGATACAGAAAGAGAAAAACCTAATAGAAATGACTAAAGGCCACTTGTAGATGTCACCTTTTACATCATCTTGCTTTGACAGCATCATAGACAAGAAGAGAAAGAAGCGTTTCTTCCTAAGTCACTGGCAACTCCCACCTCTCAACCCCTCTCCACTGTCTTTTTATTTATTTATTTTTTATGGTATAAGGTCTTGCAAGGCACGCTCATCCTTCCTCAGCCTTCCAAATGCTGGCCACACCACCTGGCCTAGCCCCTTGATATTGTTGCTAAGCATCAAAACAGCTTTAAGTCCTCACTTGCATGCTGAGGAGAGGTTGGAAAAACACAATAACTGGCAGACTGTAGACAAGAAACTTCTTTAGCCAGGAGGAAGCAGAGAGCCCTGCCCAGTCAGGTGTGCAAGCAAAGTATCCACGTGGATTGGGCGGACAGTGGACAGGACATGAGTGGATAAACTGTTCATAAAACTGTGCTTCTTACAGTCATAAATTATGTGATACTGATTGACTAAGCTGGAGGTTCAGAAGACCTTCCAAAATAAACATAAACATATCAATAGGTGTGGTGGTGCACGCTTTTAATCCCAGTGCTTAGGATGCCGAGTCCTGTGGGTCTCTGTGAGTTCAAGGCAAGATTAAGGCTATATTGTCAGGCCTTTCTCAAAAAAAAAAAAATTCTAAGTTTGAAAGCAGCTGACTTTTAAGGTGAATGCTCCTAAGACCCCAGGCAGAGTAACTTCTTATTATAACTATTTTAAAATGATTACATGATGATATGTAGGTGAATGGGGGACCCAGCCTTCAGTGCACACTTTTCCAGGCAAGGAATAACTGGCTCGACCCAGCATGCACTGTGCATTTTAGACAAACACTCATGATGTTATCTCCATACACAACAAGGTTGAGTCTATTATATAATCACAAATGCAAGACCCTGCTGCTGATCCCAGGCTCTTATAAAAATGAAGGCAGAATCCAGACTCCTCTAGAAATTTTGACTTTATTCATTGCAACTCAATTGCCCAAAGAATCTCCCCATGAATAGGAATAAAAATTATGAGAGCATAAAATAAAAGAACAGAGAGAGCAAATGAAGGAATCATGGGGCAATATAAGAACATCTGTCTAGAAGTACACACGAGACCCACACAAGCTTAAGGTAAACAAAATCTTAGGATAGAGCAGGGGAATGGACAAGAAATCCCACCGCTAGCTAAGGAGCTGTTGGCATTTCATAGACGCTAGGAGAGGGAGATTCAGTATTCCTTAATGAGGCGACTCCTGGCAGGTCAACCACATTGCAGGGTGGACCCCACTCCAAAGAGTAGTTGGGCAGTAGAAACTAAACAGCGGGGGAAAGGGTGAGTAGGGAGGGGAGAGTAGAAGGGTACTTATGGGAGGAGTTGGGGAGGGAGTGACTATATTCACAATACATTGTATGAAATTCACAATAAGACTTGTTCAAAACAAATGCGAGAAAAATCTGTAAGGAAAAACCTAGATTCATCCCTAAATATCTCTCCTCATAAAGTATCAAAATTCTCTGTATGCACTGATCTATTATGGGGACAACTTGATCAGTTCTTTGCCAAATACCCTTTCAGAATGTAATTTATAAAAGACTATCAGTAGGCAATTGTCTGACCTATTTTGGCAACATTTTGAATGAACATTATCATTCACCATCAGCATATCTATGACCGAGATTGTGATACTAGATAGGAATATGATTTCCACTCCAGAACTCTATAGCATCATTACTACATTCCCAGAAACTTCTAAAGGCTGATTTTAAAGGACTAAGAAAGAAAATTTAATGAGCTGTGGTCAACAAGCCTCCATGTGCACCCCTGGGCTCTCTGTGCCTTCCAGGCATGTGTCATTTGTGAAAGCTGCTCAAATGCCTGAATCCCCTCATCTCAGCGTTCTGCAAAGCCTCCCTGCTACACCCACTGGAAAGTATATCCCAATGGGCTCTGCCAAGGCAAACTAACAGTGTAAACTTGGACCACGTGGCACAGAGGAACTCGCCTACTCTTCCCCTGATGGCGTACAGCACTCAATCCACTTTCACTCTTACTGGTGGAGGTAAGCCTAAAAATTCCTATGAGTAATCCCTGTGAGTTACATTGGTGGGGAGGGAAGGTGCAAACAGCTTGTCACTGCTGCAGAGATGGACATGCCCAGCGCCACTTGTGTGGGAGATACTTTTCTAGAACAAACGAGGGAGAGTTCACAGTGCTATGCACTTGGAAGCCCTTCACTCTGTTGCCTCCCCATCCAAATTATACATGCTTATTTAGACCTGAAGCTTATAATCGGCAAGCACATGGTGAATTTTAATGAAACTGAGAACATAGACACAATAATGCTGGCAGGAATCCAGACACAATAGCATAAAACTAACAGTGAAGAATCATTGGAGCTGGCAATCGCTCATTACTGGTCTCTTCTCTCTTTTCTTGCTTAAAGCCATGCATTTCCTCAGTGTAGGTTTCAACTGCCCCACTTGGCAGATGCCCGGACTTGGGATTTGTGTCACATCCTTTCTTTACAGAGACCTTTTTGAGACACGCCCGTAGTCTTCTGTGCTTTATTTGAGCCTAATGACTCTAAAATGTGCCTCATGAGTAGAACTGGACTTTAGGGTGTGTTCTTCAGGATGGATCATCACTGTGTAATGGGTGGAGAGAGGCTACCTGGAGACCATGCTTGACATGTCTGTGACTTGCTGGGTGTGGAGCATGAGGCTCTTCCCAACATCTGCAGAGGAGCTAGACAGATGATTGAAACCAGTGGCATAGTCTCTTAGACTCCTCTGTAAGTTCTCTTATGTGTGAAGAACACTTCTTGTTTCAAAGACTCATTGCGTTAATGCAGCTGAGCTATATGGGAAGTTGTTCGGAAAAGAACTTTCCCAAGGAGAGCGTGTGATCAGAAATGACAGCGTGAGCTTTCCCAGGCTATGAAGCAATGGACACAGCAGGACTGAGATGAGCAGCCATCTTGTCACATCGTACCCAGTGCTGTGACAGTTGCCTGTGTTAACAGTGCTGTGATAGATGGACTGATACTTGTATCAGCAGTGCTGTGAACGGTTGTGGTATCTCCTTAGTTGGTCAGAAGTTTAATGATATCCAGAAGGAGAAGCCATTAGTTTCCAGTGTGTAGCCCAAGGGAAAAGGGTGACCTTGCCCTTTACATTATGATACCCCACTGGTTCCCTAAACATATTTTCTGAGAGGTGACCTTTAATTATTACCAAGTGGCCAGAAACCCAAGAATGCCCCCTAACACACCTTCAGAACAGGCACATGTGCTTGAGTTGGGAGTGACGGTATTTCAGAGGGACAGAGAGACAAAAAGAGCCACTGGGACTTGCAGAAGCCAGGGTGTCCATGAACTTGCTATATCACCATCACTGCTCTGTAGAGACTTAGGTCTGCATCTTATGTCACTGGGAAGAAATCATGACGTTCTGGCTGTAAAATGGCTCTGTGGATAAAAGTGCTTGCCATAAACCTGTTGCTTTGAGTCTGTTTCCCAGGATCCCATATAAAAGCCAGATGCAGTGGTGTCTGTAATCTCAGCAATCCTTCAAGGAGATTAGAGGTGGAGATAGGAGAACATCCCAGCAGCTCATAGACCGACGAGTGCAGTGCAATTAGAACACAGCACAGTGGTTGACAACAGGCCCTTCTTCTCCATTCAAGGTTGTTCTCTAACCTCTACACACACCATGTGGCATGTGCATGGCCTCACACAGAAATACACGAGTGTAAACATCATACACACATAAACATACACATGCCATGTGGCATGTGCATGGCCTCACACAGAAATACATGTGTGCAAACATCTCTCTTTCTCTCTCTCTACACACACCATTTGGCATGTGCATGGCCTCACACAGAACTACATGTGTGCAAATATCTCTCTTTCTCTCTCTCTACACACACCATGTGGCATGTGCATGGCCTCACACAGAAATACATGAATGCAAACAACAAACACGCCTACACATTTTAAAAAAAGAAATCATTATTTTCTTAAGTACCAGATAAAGAGATGGGTTTTCATTAGCCATGGAACAGATACCAGTTTTGAGTTTCATTCTTTATATCTAATCCATATTGTAAGATACATTCAGAACATCCTATCATCAGAGACAAACACTGTTGTACCACTCATGGAAAGCACCACCGTCCTATGGCTTCTTTAAAAAAACAGATTTTGAAAAGCCCCAAGGGGTTAACAGCAATCAGATTATGAGGTAAGCCACCCCTCTCACCAAAAACTGGGCTGTGGCCGTCTGAATGGGAATGAGACACACCCGAGGGTGGCATTGCACGTCATACACAGGCTGCAGTGTCTGTTGCTGCTGCTGTGCCAGAAGGAGGGCAGAGAAGAAACAGAGCTGAGGAGAGAGTGTGCTCATGTTCATGTGAAAATATGTTTAAAAAGAAACTGCAGAGCCAGGTGGTGGTGCACACCTTAAATTGCCTCAGGTGAGTCTCTGAGTTCAAGGCCAGCTTGGTCTACAGAGTGAGTTCCAGGACAGCCAGGATTACACAGAGAAACCCTGTCTTGAAAAACAACAGGAAGGGGAGAGGGAGAGAAACTGTGGTACACAAAACTAGCTGGCTTCTTTTAAATGTCATCTGAAATTCTAGGTCAAGGTGAAATGGTTGTGGACCAAGGCAGGTCTGAGATAAGACAATTAAAATAAGAAGACAGCCAAACATAGTACTCAGTAAAACTTCCAAGTCTTTCAAATTAATTATAAAGTATCTGTTAGGATAATTACCCAAGATGGTAATGCCACAGTTATTTAAATATTAACCACACAGCAGATTTTATAGCTATCTGTTAAGAGCTATGGCATCAAATTGTATTTTTGAAGCCAAAAATGTAAACATTAAAAAAACTTGGAACGTCTACTATGTTCCCGAGATTTCTAAGAGACAGCCACTTGTCACCACTGCTATTCAAGATAGCACCATGCATTCTGTAGAAAGGAAAATGATAGGCTCTTACCAAGTAATCATCAGGCTTGATACCAAAGAGTTCTCGGAAGTACCGGAAGGCCAGTGGAGCGTAGGTCTTAAATCTGAAGTCTGGGTAGTGATGGGCCGGGGTCAGGTTGCTACCTTCACTGCAGTTCAAATACCCACAAAGGAGACACACAGAGAGAACATTAGCAAAGACAAGTTTTGGTTTCAAATTCTAGCTTTATTAGTCCTGGGCCAATTTTATCTCTAGGAAAAAGTATACACTCTGTTTATGGGTATCTTGAAGCTTCCATCACAATGGACAATGGTCCTGGGGTAAAGACATACTGACTTGGTGACGGGCCACACAGGCCTTCCCTGCCAGTCACTGGGTGAGGTGGACATTCTTCATCTCCCCGCTTTTCTTTGCTTGGGAAATTATCAATCTTTCTAGTGAAATCATATTATAATGTTTTAATGAGGCCTCAAGATTAGTGGAGACAAATTAAAGTACTTCATCATGTATTTTGTATACTGGATAAATATCTGTAACTAGGTACATCTGAAAAAAAAACTTACAGGATCTGTTTGTTTTGATTGTATGTGTATGAATGTTTTATTTGAATGTACACTTACATGCCACAAATGGGCAGTGCCCTCAGAGGCCAGAAGAGGGTGTAGGTTGGACCTGAAACTGGAGTAAATGAGCTGTGAATTGCCATGTGGGTGCTGGGAATCGAACCAGGATCCTCTGGAAGAGCAGCCAGGTTCTTAATTGATGAACCATCTATCCAGCCCTCATGTGAAATAATTTTTAAACTATCCTACAATCTAGAAAAAAAGAACCGTCAGTCTCTATCTCAAAGTAGACTTATCATAAATAGTTGCAGGGCTGTTTTTCTTTGGGGGGGGGTTTAAAAGAAACCTTAAAAATGTATTATTATTATTGTGATTGTGTGTGGGCTCGTGCACACACAAATAATGGGTATATGTGTATGCATTCACCATAGTATCTATGTGACTTCAGATGACAACTTTCTGGGATTGGTTCTCTTCCATCTTTTGTGGGTCCAAGGGATTGGACTCAGGGTGACATGCTTGTGTGGCAAACACCTTTACCAATGAAGTCATCTTGCTAGGCCCTCCCTTTGGGGTTCTGAAACAGACATTCACTTTGAAATGTAAACTGACCTGAAATTCACTATGTAGAATAAAGTACCTTGAACTCCCGATTCCCTTGTGTGAGCTTTGTCACTGCTGAGATTACAGGTGTGTGCCACCATGTTCAATTTACAAATGGTTGTTGTTTGCCCTAAGCAAGCACAGCTGAACATTCCTAATCATGTGTGATGATCTGCCAACACAGCCAAACAGTTCCTCAGTCTACACTTTGTAATTTATGAGAGGAAATGCATTCAGCTGTATGTCCCCAGGGATGATTTCAGAATTTATGTCATGTGTAATAATTTGCAAAAGTCAGCCATGGAGAAATAAGAGTTAAAAGCCAAGAGAGTCAGTGTAGACTCGATTGTCAGCAAGCAGAAACAATTGCAACACCTGCTTTGGATGGGGGTTGCTTTCAGTGGGCTCAGAGTATGGCCAGTTTCTTATTTCTCAGACTCCTGCTTCTCCTTAAAGAGCCAGAGGTAAGATGACCACTCGTGTTCCTCTCATCAATTTCCTTCATTCTTTGGCTAGCAAGTCCAAGCAAGAAGCTGGATGCTGCATTAATTTGCTTTGTTTTTGGTTGATTCTGGGCTTCTTGTGTTGATCACACTGGCTCCACTAATTATAAGAAGTTTTCTAGGGAACAGCAAGTTGGTCACTATGCTCAAGTCCTGAGTGGTGTCAAGTAGAGTGGTACCCAAGGTTTCCTTGGAAACGAGGCAGACAGACACAAATGCACACACATGATATAAGTGCATACACAGCAGTGCACCGTGAGGTAGAAGAGGTGAATTCTGTTCCCTTTGAAAATATATTTGTGTGTGTTATGTTGTGTGTGTGTGGCATATATACTTGTTAGTGTGGTTGTGTACACACATGAGTGTTTGTATATGCACATGTGTGTACGTGCGTGCATGGGTACACATGGATGTAGAGACCAAAGGCTGACATGTGTCTTTCCTCAACTGTTCTCTGCTTTATGTGAGACAAAGTCTGTTACTAAGCCTGAAAGTCATCAATGCAGCTATGCTGGCCACAGTGCACTGCATCAGGGATCCCCCGAGTTGTTTTTCTCCCCAGTGCTGGGTAACAGGCTACCATGTTCAGCCAGGTAATTATTCACAGGGATGGAATGTTGTTTAAACTTTACTCTCAGCTTCTGAAACACAAATGCCAGCCTGGAGCATCACCAGGGGCAGCATTTCCTGCAGAAGAGCAGAAGGGGAAGAAACAGATTGTTAGGGCATAGGGGCCAGAAACACTTCCCCAGAGCTGTGTGACTGTAAGAGAGAGGAGCGGAGCTTTGGAACCAGCCACCTTGGGTTCAGGTCCTGGTCTTAACATTGACATGTGGGTTAAGTGACAAGATCTTAGGGTATTAATTATTTCATATGCAGGTGACTATTCTTTTCTCCTTCCTTCCGTTTTCCCACTCTCCCTTCCTCTTTCTCTCTCTCCCTCCCTCTTTCTTCCTTTCTTCCTTCCCTCCTTTTCTTCCTTCCTTTCTCCCTCCCTCCCTCTCTTCCTTTCATCCTTCCTTCCTTGTAAATGTGTAAGGTGATAAGAGTAAGTTAGCCAGGTGTGGTGATGTACACCTTTAATCCCAATGCTCAGGAGGCAGAAGCAGGCAGATCTCTGTGAGTTAAAGGCTATCCTGGTCTCCAGAATGAGATCCAGGACAGGGTGAGCTACAGAGTGAGACCCTATCTCAAAAAAACAAAACAAAACAAAACAAAAAACCCAAAAAACAAAAACAACAAAACAAAACAAAAACAAAACAACAAAGAGTAAGCTAGAATTATAATCATACACAATGTATGTCAAATAAACAAAACCATGCTTGATTCATAGCTAGTACCTGAGCTTTGTTCTCCATTGCCACTTAGGTTCATGGTCTTATGGTACAAATGTTATAAAACCTCTTCCTTCTCTATCCCACTAGTAATGAAAACTTTCTAGAGTATCCCATCAGGGGACAGATGCTCATGGTTCTTTTACTTATCTATATGTAACCAGAGACTGGACAAGCACTGTTTGTTATATATTCCCCCAATCTTAAATGTCCAGGCCTTTTCCTATCTACAAAATGAATCTGTAGAATAAATATGTGATACCTAAAATTAGCTTTGGGTGACTTAAAAATAAGAAGAAAAGGAAAACAATGCATTTGGTTGCTAAGGGAAACTGATGTTGTTGCTACAGAGTGGAAGAAAATCAAAGCTGCCTGTTCAGGAGAGGTGCTCTGTGGTTAAAATCATCAGCTGCTCTTGCAGAGGACCCAGATTCAATTTCTAGCACCAACATGGTGGCTCACAACTATCTCTAACACAAGTTACAGGGGATCTGACTTCCTCCTCTTCTGACCTCTGAGGCCATCAGGCATGCAAGTAGTGCATAGACATGTATGCAAGAAAAATACCAATACATATAAAACAATGTTAATAAATAGCATGTCACTTCAGGCAACTAGTTGTCTAGGACTGAGGTAAACTCATGGTTTAGGGTTACCAGAGACCTCAGAATGTTTCAGTTGTTTACAACCAGAGCTTGTGTGGTCACTTAATCTGGTCCACATTCTCAGATGAGCATAGGAATATGGAGGTGGGGAGAACTATTTGACACATTCACACATACACACATACATACAATCAATGTATGAATTGCTCTTTGTTTGTTTTTTCAAGACAGGGTCTTACTGTGTAGCTCTGATTGTCCTGGAGCTCACTGTGTAGACCAGGCTGGCCTCCAACTCAAAGATACATTTGCCTCTGACTCCTAGGGGCTGGATTAAAGTCATGTCCCATTAAATCTGGCTATGAATTGCTAATTTTATATACACATGTAACTGTGAAAACATACTCACAGTCAACATACTCAATGTTTCTATCACTTTGTGGAGGATTTTGGCTGTTGTGGTAATTAGGATATTATTACTGGTAGGGCTTAGGGCACACATATGTAACTGAAAACAACACCTCCTATGAGAAACCCTGAGGTGGACTGTTGCAGAATATTTGATCACACTGTGTGAAGATGTTTCTGTACTTCCTCACCTGTCTAAGGAACCTTCTGATTGGCTTACTAAGGAGCTGAATGGCCAATAGATAGGCAGGAGAGGACAGGTGGGACTTCTGCTCAGAGAGAGGAACTTGACGGAAGATTCTGAGATGCAGGAATTTGCCAGTGAGATGCAGAAGAATTCAGATACACAGTACTGAGGAGAGGTAATGAGACGTGTGGCAGAACATAGATTAATATAAACAGGTTAATTTTAGTTTTGAGAGATAGCTGGGAACAAGCCGAAGCTAGGGCCAAGCTTTCATAATTAATAGGAAGTTTCTATGTCATTATTCAGGAACTGGTAGTCCAAAGAAAGCATGGTTACAGTGATCCTTTGGTAAATGCATGAAGACAGTGAATCCAGGGAAGGAACCAAAGAACTCACAACAAATGTCTTTAAAAATAACAGTCCTGTAATGTTGTATTGACATTTAAAAGCAGCAATACTCTGCAGTGGTAGATGTTAAATGTGACAGTAGATTTCTCTAAGTAAGGGATGAAGCCTGCTTCTCCAGTGGTATGCCTGGTCTGCTGTTCATGGAGATAATAACGTGAAAAACAAAGACATAAGTATTGAAGGTATTTATAGCTTCAGCTTCCCACTCATAAACAAAAAGATGAAATGCTACAGGCTTGTAACAAGTCACCCAAGAACAAAGGGGCATACATACAGTGGGTGCTCTGTAAGGTGTTTTCCTTGACCATAGAATCAATCCGTTATGGATTAAAAATAGTTTAAAAAATTCTATCTGTACTGAACATGGTTAGATGTTTTTCTTGTCATTATTCCCTGAATGGTGCAGTTAGCAACAAATCACAGAGTAGCAGGTAGTACGAGTAATTTATCGATGTTATGAAATAAAGGGTAGGTCTGTTTAGATGGCTCAGTTGGGTAAAAGCGCTTGCTGACAAATCTAATGACCTTTTTATCCATGGTGTTGTGGGATATTTGATCACACTGTGTGAAGATGTATCTGTACTTCCTCACCTACCTAAGGCAACTTTTGTTTGGTTTAATAGAAAGCTGAATGGCCAATAGCTAGGTAGGAGAGGATAGGTAGAACTTCAGACAGAGATAGGAACTCTGGGAAGAATCAGAGAGGCTGAAGGGAGTGGATATTCACTAGTGAGATGAGGAGGAAGTCAGATACAGTAATGAGAAGAGGTAACAAACCACATAATAGAATATAGATTAATATAAATGGGTTAATTTAAGTTTTAAGAGCTTAGGAACAAGTCTAAGCTAAGGCCAAGCTTTCATAATTAGAAAAAAGTCTCCGTGTCATTATTTGGGAGCTGGTGGTCCAAAGAGAACCTGAATATAGTGGTGCATGTGCACAAATTTACACCCATTCATAAAAATAACTGCAATAAAGAAGTATAATGGAGAATGTGTGCAAGACATATGCAGGTTTGTGCTCCTTTACTTAAGGGACTTTGGCACTCATGGATTTTCTGGTGCTTTGGTGCAAGAACTCATCCTCACAAACACTGCGGAATGAGCATTGTCACGAACTGCCCTGACCCACTTGACGAATAAGAGCAAGTCCAGTATAAACAACAAAATGGCTCATTCTGAACATGTGAGTCTGAAATGCCAATCATCAGAATCACAGAGACAACGTCAGCATCTCCAAGGAAAATGTCTTCATTTGTAGTCCATTTTCTTTGGAAAACCCAGAGTTGTGGTGATACTTCAACCGAACAATGATTGTCTTTTACAGTGGAATAGACTTTAGTATTTAGGTAAGTGCTTTACCCACTGAGCCATCTCACTAGCCCACATATTTGATTTTAAATAATTTATGTCTTTATTCCCTAGACTGATAAACAAATGTATGGATAACTCTGGTGTTTTTGCAAACATGGTATCAAAATAGCAGCATTACCTCATGTCCTTTTCTGGAGGAAATTTAAGTTAAAGTCATCATAAAAGACAACTTTTGGTTTAATCCAGATGCATTCGTGGTTGTTCCGGTCCATTCTTTAAGTAATTAAATATTTATCGTTAGGAAGATTTTGAGTGTTTGTGTGTTTTATGAGTATCATATGTATGCATGGTGTCCTTGGAGGTTGGAAGATGTTGAATTTCCCGGGACTGGACTTATATAGATGATTGTGAGCTGACATGTGGGTGCTAGGAATGGAACTCAGGTCCTTTGAAAAAGTAACCAGTGCTCTTAACCCCTAAGCCATTTATACAGCCCCAGCCCACCCTCTTAAAGTAGGCACAGCAAAATCTTGGCACCAGTGCTGATTCATAGAAGTTCTCTCAAAACACAAGGCAGGCTTTACTCTAAGATTTCTTTATCCTCACCCACCAAATCCCATGATCCTTCTGCACACAGTCTTCTGGGCACCCATCACAGCTAACTACAGCTGACCCATGGATGCCACTCACCATCTCCACAGAAGAAATGCGGGACATTCTCAAGCAAGAACACAGTGGAGCCACAGGTCCCACCCACACACCCTTCAGTACATGTAGACGTGCACATGGCAGAAAAATCCTTTAACAGAAAGATGTCGCTGTCAAGTTTCTCGCATGGAACCATTACAAATTAAAATGTTCTTACCTGGGTAGGAACACACTTTCCACCACATAAAAGTCTTGCATGAGGACATCACGTTCTGGCTTGGAGGTGAGATTTCCCACTGTGTATCCTATTCCCAGCTGAATAGCACCTTTAATAGCTGATGATGCGGTCTGTAGAGGAAACACAGGGTGCCTTGTTAGCTTTGAGGGCTTTGTTCAGGGTTTCAGGCAGCCAACTGAGGGTGAGACTACTTTCTCCTTCTTGTTCCCAAATGGCAGGAACTGGGGCTTAGATTCTATTCAGGATCCTTCTCCGGGTGTGACTGCTCACACTGACTGTGGAATGTCCCCCACAGGCTCCTGTATTTGGACACTTAGCCTCAGCTCCTGTTTTGGGAACATGCAGAACCTTTGGAAGATGGACTCTACTGGTGGACATAGGTCATTGGGAGGCTCATACTCTGGCCCTGCTTCAGGTCTCTTTTTATGTGCCTATCTAGCTGTCAATGAAGAGTTCCAGTGCATTTGTCCAGCTGCTCACACCAGTCCCTCCCAGCCATGATGACAGAGCCATAATGAACTCTCCTCCATTAAGTTGCATTTTGGTCACCATGAAGAAAAGCAACTGACACACATGAGATTATTTTTGTATGTGTGACATCTTTCATACAAAATGTGTCTTAAGATTAGAGGGCTGAAATCTCTACCTTTCTTTTAGTAAGAACTTAGACACTCCATGGAACCCTTTCAATAAGGTGTATTATAGTTTATACCCAAAGATAAATGGTATAGTCGTATTTGTTTAAAAAAAATCTGATCCCCTCCCCCCCCCACATACTTGTGGAGAATATACTCTCTCCACATGAAGTGATAGAGCAAAAACATTATTCGAATTTTTGATGTTCACACAAAATTTGATTTCGAAAATTGCCTATTGTTCTTGGCAATGAGCTATAATTAAATTTTTCTCCATTAATCTGTGATAAAAGATGAAGCATCAGGACACCAATATTTTCAATTTGTTACTTTTCAAATATCTTAATAATGAAACAGAGATGCTGTTAAATTAGAGAATAGCTACTTTGTGTTTGTACACATAAGTGTGTGCATGCATGTATATGCTGATATGTTGGTTTTTTTGTTTTGTTTTTTGTTTGTTTGTTTTTGCATGTGTGGTGCTGAAAATTAAGCCCAGAATCTCAACAGTATATCAATATATACATTTGGCTTTAATCAAATAATAAGCAACAATAATAGAATAGAATAATTCAACTTAGCAAAGTTGGGTGTGATGATGCTTTAACTCAAGCACTCCAGAAGCAGAGACAAACTTCTCTATGAATTTGAGGCCAGTCTGGTATACATAGTATGTTTCATGATAGCTAGGGATAGATAGAGAGACCCTTCTTAAAACAACAACAACAATAAAAAAATTAGAATAGATTCTGTGTATTAATTCATGTATTTGCATGTGTGTATGCACATGTATAAATGTGCATGTCATGGCCTGTGTGGAGGTCAGAAAACAACTTTCTTGGCATTGGTTCTTTTCTTCCAACTTGACTTTGAAGCAGGGTCTCTCTTTTTGTTTCTAATGCTGTGCTGCACATTCTTGCTTCTGGATGTGTCCCCTGCCTCTGCCTCCCATCTTGCCATAGCAGGGCTAAGCTTATAGTCACAAGTTTTTACATCTGGATTTTTAAAAACATGGGTTACAGCGACTGAACTCAGGCCATCAGGTTTGGGTCTCTGATACATCTCACTAGCCATAGAATACATTCTTTTGTGTGCATATGTCTCTGTTTCTGTGTGTGTCCGTGTGCAAGTGTGGGCATGCATGTGTAGGATAGAGGCTGATGATGAACGTCCTTCTTGATTGTTCCTCACCTTCACACTGACCTTGGAATTCCCTGATTCGGCTCCAGGGGTCCTCCTCCCTCTAGCTCTCCAAAGCTGGCTGTGCCCAGTCTAGCTTTTTATGTGGGTCCCAGTGATCTGAATTCATGTCCTTGTGCAGTAGGCACTTTATCTACAGAGCCATTTCTCCAGTGCCTCAGTACATTGTTCTTAAGATGTTTTACTTTTTATGTCTGGCAGTGCTAACTCAGTACAGCAGAGAACAGTAAGTTAAATGAATGATTTTTTTTTTGGGGGGGTGAAGGTGGGGGTTTAAGATAGGGCTTCTCTATGTAGCCTTGGCTGTCCTGGAACTCACTTTGTAGACCTCGAGGCTGGCCTCGAACTCAGACATCTGCCTGCCTCTGCTCCCAAGAGCTGGTACTAAAGGGGTGTGCCACCACATACCGGGAAATAAATAATTCTTAACCAGAGGCATTTGGTAATGTCTGCAGAGGTTTTATTGGTTAGTATACTGGTGTGCCGTGGTGTGCCACCAGCACCAAGTGGGTCTAAACATCCTGCAGTGCACTGGAAGCTCCCTTCCACAGAGCTAGCCAGCCACAAACATCAACAGGTCCATGGTTGAGAAACTCTGACTTAAATGAATGGCGTAAAGATTATTCAGTATATCTCAAAGGAAAAACTTTCTTCTTTCCAGGCAATATTTTCATTTTGAAAATCCAACACCAATCCCCACCTCCCTCCATCCTTTATTCTTTTTTTATTTTTTCTTCTTTTAAAATACCAAAGCACACCTTTCCTTGAAAAAATTTCTCTTGATTCTACAAGGGGACTAAGTTCTGGGACCACTTCTAGCTTTCCTGATGGTCCCTCCTGTCGTTTCTCCACTGGCGTCTCATAGTCTATCTTCTGTAATTGAAGAATTCCCTACAAGTTTGATTCCTGATCCTCAGGCTCCTTTGCTATCATTATCCAGTCTCATTGCCATGCATTCGGCTCTCAGACAGTCTCAATTTGGATGCTATTCTACCATCACACACATAAGGCAGTGTCCTAGAACCAGTCCACCCTATATCCAATGTCTGCTTCTTTTCCTAAGGCCCTGTCATCTCCAGGCAGTCAAGACAGCACCCCCAAACAGACATTTAGTATAGGGTGTATCCCGCATTAATGCTTGCTGGTTTAGCCTGAAATATCCACACTCAATCAGTACTGCTCAGAAGTGTCTTCATATAACTAGTAAGAGCAGTTCCTTAAACCATCGTTTAAGCATTTTTCTTGCTTCACTTGAGACACCTGCCATCCTTCATCCGGGGACAGCAATCCACATGTTGGGCCACGTAGAACATGAGAAAAATTTTGGTGTTGTTTTTCCCACACACCCTTTGACTTAGGACTGGAAGAAGCAAGGAGCAAAAGACTGAGCGCTAAGTGCATCTAGTGCCTGAAAAAACAATTTTGTTATTTTAGTACTCCTTCCCTGTATTCTGCGATGCCAGCAGTTGGTGTCAGTGACCTTTTGTACTGGTACGTCTGCATTCTGAAGGCACAAATGGATTTCTTTCATTTTAACCCTGTCTAAAGATTCAAAAGCCATTTCTTTCCCTACATATCACTCGGGGCGGCATGCCACAAGATGTGACATCTACGCTTTTCAGAGGAACCAGCACCCAGAATGCTCTGTCTAGTCCTCAAACGACCGTGAGCCCTGGTGCACGTTGCATTCTGTTCTCACACCCCATATTGCTTTCCAGAGCCATGACAGCAGTCTTTTATCACTTTGTGTAAGTCTGTCAGCAGAGTGAGTACCATGTTCCTGGCTGTCCCCACCCTGGGAACAGAAAGCAGTCTCAGCTGCCAGTAGTCTCTAACCCTGACCGGAACCCTCAGACTTCAGGAAGAGTGAATATCACCGGAGATGCTGCTGACATGGACATCCCTAGAATAAATGAAGGACCTCAGGGACACGGTAAAACAATGTCCTCTTGCTCTAAGAAATACTGAAAACAACCTTTCTCCTGACATCAAGCTTTGAGCTCCTGAAGGGATGAGGACCCCACTGACATGTTTAATTAAATGAGAAATAGAAAAAAAAAAAAAAGACAACAAATTGTAATCCTATTAATTTCTTTTCTTCTCAGACCTCTTAAAAATCAAGTGCTTGGGTGGGAGAAATAATAGCATAGCAATAAAGTAATATAAATAATTACTTTTGAACAACTCATTTATGCCAGACACCTGACAATATGGATAATGATAATTTTCCCAATGTAACTACAGCACATACTTCCACAATGCTTACAAGGACCCCAATGCCTTCGACTTTTGTTGATTCTTTTAACCTCACATTAACTTGGAGAGGCAAGTACTAGTTGGTAAGCAGCCCCAATGTGAAAATTTGAAATCCCAAATGCTGCACCATTGAGAACTACCGACAGTGTGTGACAGTGACAGGGTGAGCATCTCAAGGTTTCTGGGTACGGACAATTGCCACGAATGGAAAATCCCACACGCAGACACCGGTGACCGGTCATGACCAAAAGAAAACAGAGCACAGCAGCACAGTAGGTACTCATTGCTGGAGTCTAAGGAAGTCTGCCACCCGCTTAAGATGCTTACAAATACTGTATGAAGTTATAATTAGGCTAAGCGTACAGGGCACCAATAACATATAAATAAATTTTGTTTTCAGTCTTGGCTTCTATCCACAAGCTACCTCATTATGCAAATGCAAATGTTCCCAAACCTTATATCCAAAGCATGTCCCAAGGGTTTTGAGTAAAGGATTTCCAGTCCATTTCATGGACTTGGGTATGTTTAGTAACTTCCTCTAAGGTGGAAATGTGGATCAGGACTTAAACCAACCATGGCTGGATCTGAAACAAACATGTTCTGTGGTCTCTAATAGCAGAGTTCCTTAATTCACTTAACCAAGTAGCTGGCCTTGGTGTCAATGATTCCCTTTATAGGTGTACACTTATGGCTCTGCATGGTTAGGTGACTTCCCCAAGCCTCTCTGCTAGCATCTGGCAGAGTCTGACCACCAGGTGCAGGCTGCTTTCACATCTGGTTTTTACAAAAAGAGCCAAGAATCAAAGTTGAAGGTTCTCTCTTAAGTCTGCATGTTTGACCCCTGCAAAGGAAGTAGTCCCGAAGGAGCCATTCCTTTGGATACACTGAGATAAGAATGTTTAATTAGTTGTTAATCACACCCAGCCATGGGCAAGCCAAACAAAAGCTCACAAAACTCTCATCTCGGCAAACCACATCATTAACGCCACTGCTAATGCGGGGAGTTATTAATATGAGGC